AAACCCATCTGGAAACCTGGGAAGGATCCGTCCTCTCCTTCAAGTTATCCTCTCTCAGGGTTATCAAAACTGTTCGAAAGAGAAGTCTATCACCGGCTCCTAACATCTGCCTATGAAAACAACTTGTTACTCGAGGAGCAGTTTGGTTTTCGGAAAGGTCGTTCGACCGTCCACCAGCTGACTCGAGTGACAAACATTCTCAGACGGAACAAGTCTGTGTCGAAAACATCTGCCATGGCGTTGTTGGACGTTGAAAAAGCGTTCGCATTATGGATTGTGTCGTGACCGGACCGAGGTTTCCAGCCTCGGCCACGGCTACACGAATTGGTGATGCAGCTTCCCACGGATGCGCTGCTTCTATTGCGGCTGCTGCTTCTACTGCTGGATTAATTCGTCTGCTGCTACTGCTGGAGGGATTAACGAGATTCCCTCTGTCCCTTTTTACTATCTAGCGAAACCACAGCCAAGGGAACGGGCTTGGAAACACTAGCGGGGAAAGAAGACCCTGTTGAGCTTGACTCTAGTCTAGCATTGTAAGGCTATATAAGAGATGCAGAATTCGTGGGAGCCGGGGTAACATATTATCTGCCCGGAACCAATGAGATACCACCACTCTTACTGTTGCCTTACTTACATGATCAGGTGGAACAAGTGCTAAAGTTATTGATCCCCGGCAATTATTTTAGTCATCCATCAGGTCATGAAAATTCTAACTATTTTTTACCTAACCAATTACCATCCAGCTCTGTGCTGTGTAACTCTAATATATACCACAGCTTGGTGTTCAAATTGCAGCACTATGGTCTTCCAATCTTCCCAGTGAAGATAATTAATAACTACCTTTCGAACAGGATGTTCCGAGTCTCTCTGAATGGCATCACATCGGATGCTATCAACATCGGTGCCGGGGTTCCACAAGGAAGCATCCTTGGCCCCATCCTATTCAACCTGTTCACCTCCGATATGCCGGCTCTCCCTGATGGTGGATCGTTGTCTCTGTTCGCAGATGACACATCCATCGTCTACAAGGGTAGGGTCATCGGAGCTCTGACTGCCAAACTTCTGAGAGGCCTGGACGTCCTGTCTGAATATTTCAATAGTTGGAAGATCCGTATCAACGCGTCAAAGACCCAGGTCATCATCTGTTCACACTCTAAATCTCCCAGACTTGTTCCGTCGGAGAATAATAAGGTCTGCCTGAACGGCACAGTGGTGGAATGGTCGAAAGAGGTAGTCTACCTCGGCTTAACACTAGACAGCAAGCTGATTTTCATGGAGCACGTTGATAAAACCAAAACCAAGAGCAACATCTTGATAAGATCGTTGTATCCACTCATGAACAGAAAGTCTACCCTGTCCCTGAAAAATAAGCTTGCTGTCTACAAACAAATCATCCTTCCCGTAATAGAATATGGGATGCCAATCTGGGAGAGTTACGCCAAATGCAATCACCTTAAACTCCAAAGGATCCAAAACAAGATCCTGAGGATGATCCTAAACAGTCCCCCGCGAACCAGAAATTCTGAGATCCACCACCATCAGACATTAGAAGAACGGAGAGTTTTTATCCTGGAAAGGTTCATAGACACCTGTCTGAGATCAACTCATCAGATCATACGTGATCTAGCACGTTAGGCTAAGTCATACTCGTAGTTAGGTAGGTTATCACTTTTTTCAATTCAAACATACAGACCCCCAAGAGATATTATGTAGACTAGTAGAAAAACGTGAATACGTAAATTAGAATAACAAATGAAACAAAGATGAAGAGTCTGATAGGTTAATCAAGTAAAATGTTAAAACAATGTAAATTCATAATTAACAGCAATAAACGTAATTTACTACTACTACCTCATGCTCCTGCTCACTGCATGACCAAGTGCCACGAAGTCCGAAGCGGTGACTAAGCGATGCTTAGAAAGTATTTTTGGTGCAGAAAATGCAAAAAAGGAGGGACTTCTAATGTATTTTTTGTGCAAAATATGTAAAGAAGGAGGGACGTCGGATGTTTTCCTAAATGCATATACCGTGCATCATAGAGAAAGAATCTCTATCTACTGTTTCCAATTAGCGCAAATACTCAGGAGTGCTTGTGTGATTATGAACCCGCGTTTCAATAAAACCCTAGTTTGAGAACATTGTTTATTCTTTAAGGCCTGTACTCGAAAAAAAAATGCACCAGGCAAAAGTGTTCGCCAAAAGTTTATTTTAAGTCGGATTTTCTTAAAACTTTCAGGGAATGAATTAATACATATGGATTATGTTTCGGCATAATTACTTTATTCAATTTCCTTTCCATCACTGAAAGCCCGCACCTTTCCCTTAAGACCCCTCATTACATTTTGTGCAATGGTGGAGCTGACCTTTTTGGTCACTTTCATCCATTCTTTCTTCAACTCCAGCTCGTTCTTAAACACCTTGGTCGATTTTCGAACTTTGGCCTTCATTATGGCCTAAAATCTTTCCACCGGACGAATCTCTGGTGAATCTGGGGGGTTGGCGGTTTTTGGTACAAAAACAACGTTATTGTCTCTGTACCAATCCAACGTCGATCGCGCGTTATGGAACGATGCCAGGTCCGGCCAAAATAATGTCTCGCCTCCGTGGGACCACAGGAAGGGCAACAGACGCTTCTGGAAGCACTCGGTCCGGTAAATTTCGCTGTTGATGGTACCCATTGTGATGTACGGTTTACTCAGTTTACCGCATTGGCATATGGCCTGCCAGAGCAAGTATTTTTTGGCGAATTTGTCCACTTTCTTCTTCCTTATGTCTTCCGGAACATAAAACCGTGATTTGGCAACGTAGAACTCCAGCCCCGGTATCTGCTTTGCGTCTGCCTTGATGTAGGTTTCGTCATCCATAACGACACACATCGGTTTCGTTAACCACTCTCGATACAACTCATGTTGATCACGCCGGTTCGGTGCCTTCCGGACCTTGAATACACGAAGCCCAGCTCGTTTCATGGTTTGCTGAACGAACCAGGCGGAACACTTTGCCTTCAGAGCCGCGTCGCGAATCGAAAGGTTCGTATTACGCTTGAAATAATCCAACACCTTCCGGGCCTTCACAGGGTCAGCTGTCTTTGATTTTCTTCCACTTCCAGCCCGCCGCTCGGTCGTCTGGGACTTTTTAAACGATTTTACCACCTGAGACACAGTTGTATGGGTGATTCCCAGTTGTCTTCCGATCCATGTCATGGTCGCAGTCGGATTTTTCATGACGGCGCGCAAAATTCTCCGGTGATTTTCTTCTTGTTTCGATGACATCTCAATAACCACTGAACCAATTGTTAAACAATTCAGTCCAAACTAGTTATACCCAGATTTTCATCAATTTTTACCCACGGATAAAAAAGTTACACGCGGATAGAAATGGTGCATTTTTTTCGAGTACAAGCCTTAGTTTTATTAGAAACTAGGATTGGGCGATCTTCAGAGAAATATCGATCTTGATGGATCGAACTTATATTTGGCTTTAGAATCGATCCACTGATTAAATCGGTACCAAAGAATCGATCTTTGGTAGATCGATCGTTTGATTTTTGTTTTAAAACGCTTGTTTACGTTCGTACCCCAAGAAATTCGTTCCTTAATAATATTCAATTAAATGTTGTCGTAAGTAGCAATGAGCACAGGAGGGAGGTAGTCCAAACCTTCAAATGTTGCTGTATTCGTAAATATCGGAAACGCAAATAGGGAGCGATGCTGATGTTGAAGTTATGTTCGTTAAATTTACAACGCAGTCTGTGGTGAGAGTAAATCGTTTTTTCGATGTAAATACACTTTAAAAATTTACCACCTATTTTTTTTTTAAGATCGAAAAGATCGAAAGAAGATATCTTTTCGTAAATAAAGAATCGATCCGAAAAATCAGAAATCGGGATGAAAAAGATCGATCCAATATCGCCCGATCCTATTAGAAACTAGAAAGTTAGACTTTTGCACCAAACACACATTTTTCATGTCCATATGTTATATTCATAAAAAAAAACACGGCATACGTTTAGACGCAGTGCAGATATGACATGAATAGGTCAAACCAAAATCCATTATCCTACACCAGGCAAGTTGAAACGCGTGAGGAAGTTGAAGCGGTCGATGTATCTTTTAGCGGAAGTGAATAATCACTGAGATTATTTCTAAATAATAACAGTGAATATTCACTTCCCCTAAGAGATACACGTACCATTTCAACTTGCTCCGGTGCACCTTAACTATGATACTTACTTTCAAAACATTGAACATTAAGATAAAGCGGCCTATGGATCTAAGATTGGGCCCATTGCTAAAAATCTGCTATTTATCAATTTTATCTAGATGAACGCGTCATTGAGACGGTCATCATGGATATTTTTCGTTGCTATTGAAAATTTAATCGATTGCTGAATTTGTGTATGCACACTTGGAAATTTGTACAGAAATCTGTAAAATTTATCCGAAATCTCAACAGCTGAACTTTCGGTAAACAGTTTCGCAGATTTCCTGTAATTTTTCACAAATATCTGTGAATTTTTCACAGATATCTGTAAATAATTACAGGAAAACTGTAAAATTGTTCACCGAACGTTCAACTGTTGATATTTCGGTAAAAATGTACAGAAATCTGTAAAATAATCTTAGTGAGTGGGTCCAAACTAGAGGCATTTAGGCCAACATTACATCCATTTTCTCTATATAATACCTTTCGGTCGCCTGTCTCTATGTTTATGAAATTCTATCTCAATCGTCTGAACCACACGGGTTTCTTCAAAACGCCATAAAGAATTCAACTTTTATTATCAAATAAACAAGCCATCAACGATAATTGCACGGCACTCTTAGAAAACCCCCCAGGCAGCTCATGTTGAGGAACCCACTTAACAACCTTTCGCCATAAAATACATCCCAAAACCATCATCATTTGCCGCGTCTGGAAATCGGTTCAAGGGAAACGGGGAACCTATAAAATCACATTTTCACCGAAGCAACCCAGAAATCAAATTACAATCCTCTTACTTTCAATTTCTGCCGCGGTGTTCCTCGCCTCCGCTTCAATTTTATCCCCGGCACTCCGAACAGCAGCAACTCAGCTTCCTTTCCGGAACTCTGCTTCGTACCTTCACTCTTTACTCCAAACAGCTGGTCCGTTTGCCGCACAAAACTTTCCCCACTCGAGTCGGTCGCCCCCGGTCTCGTATCGTACACTCTAGTTATGCCAGTTGTTGCTTTCCTTGCTCTTCGTCAACAAACCACGTCTTCTCCAATCACATCTCTCCCTTCGCTCAATCACACCCACCTCTACAACACTACTTTTGGCGTATTTATCTTCTCACACCGTCGTGGTACCGAATTCGGTTGAAAAATTACCACGATTACAACTGCACACTTTCCGTCGCTTCACAACACCGCAGGCTCTTCCGCACCGGTTTCGTCCTTAGCAAGAAGAGTGAACAAATCAATTTCCTTACGACTGGCGTTTCGAGGAAAAAAAAAACTTCCTCTCCCGTAACAGCTGTGCGAGGCACAAATTGTCGCCTGGCTTCAATTTCCACAACCGCACAACTTTTCCGCACTCAGCTCCGGAAAAAAAACCTCCAACCTTACATTCACTTCACCACCACCATCACCATCACCATCACCAGCAATTGCGGTTCAACCGGTCAAGCGTTATTGCTCTTCCTTTTTTCCACTGATTCACACTTAACTCCAATCCAACCAAACTAGCCTTTCCAAGACGTCGAAAAAATTGCATCCGAATCGCTCCGAGGTCCAAGATGAACTGACAGGATGCTGGATGTTGATGCACCTTCGATGTCCGTCCAGCGCCGAACCCCGGCTTGTTGGGGGTGTTTTGGGATGCTGCGAGAGTGAGCGAACGGATATTCGCTCTCCAAGGAAAATCGTGGTGAATTTCGGTGGAAAACTCACCACCACCGTGACCCTGGTGCTTCCACAAACCACCCACCCTTGTGGTAAAGAGTAGGCGGAAAAGCATCCATGATGTGGGTATGTAGTAGTGTCAGTTGTCGTTTTGTTTTTCTCCGCTTTTCTGTGATGCTGTGGGTTGCTGCCTGAGGTGAAGCCGGTTGCCAACGTTTCGAACAGCTAAAGCCACGCAAGCAACGGCAGCTCCGTCTAGTACACCGAAGTATGTAGGCTGTAGCTATCTGTTGGTCGCGTAGGATTTGTCACTGTGTGGGTGAGCATCTTTGTTGATGGCGCGCATTTGGAAACGAAAGCTCTTTTGGTTGAGGATGTGGGATGGAACAGGTTAGGAGTTCAAATAATGGCAGTGAATAAAGGCATTGCATTGGTGACACCTTATCCAGTGCTGTTGAAGTAAAATTTGAGCTATGTAGGTGCAATTTGTTTCTTTTAACGCCACATATATTGAAATAGCGCTAGGGGTGAGCAAAATCGTGGCGCCAAGAACATATTAGCTTTGATTTTCGCGCATTTAACCAAAAGTAGAATAAGAGATTTTTTTAATCCATGCCGAGCGATTGAGCTGTGCGAAGCGCTGTGCCGAACAAGGTTTCACTATTCCATGAGTATGGTAACCCCAAGAGTTATGAATTTTTGACGTAGGACTACGTCTTTCATTACTATACCTTGTGAAAACCTAAAATGGAACATGAAACAAAATTATGAAAGATTTTGAACAATAATACCTCAGCTGCTCCTGGACCAAATTTCAATAATTTTATCACCAATCGACCATCAATATTTCTACGCACCTATAAAAGCGCTTTTGACAGATGATTTTCAACGAGATTCTTTGCTCGACTGTCGAGCTGTTCAGTCCGTATTTTCGCTCGAGTTCTCGATTCGATTTTGTTTCGTTTTGTGCTGTCGCGTTGCGCCGTGGAAGTGTCGCCACCTTCTCGCGTTCTGGCAAGTTTAATTGAACTTGCAAACACGAAACAAATGGTGCGTAAACGTGCCAATGAGTCAGCAGCGTGCCCTTCAAAGAAGGTGCTAATCAAGCCCAGCGCGTCGCATGATGACGCCGGAAAACGAGTACTGCAAGCCAACCAGTATGCAATACTCCCGGAAGAAAATGGCGATGGTGACGCCGCTCCCATTGCAAGAAAAGAGCGAATTCCCCCGCTTTTCACGCCGGTGAAGGATATTGCCAAGCTAGGTGCCGAACTAGCAAAACACAAGCTGCTGCCTCGCTTCAAGCTTTGCAGCATCGGTACCAAAATCATGTGCTCCAGCCTGGAGGAGTACAAACAAATAGGAAGTTTCCTGAAGAACAACAACGTGGACTTCTTCACGCATGATCTGCCATCGAGCAAGCCACTGAAGGTTTTGCGTGGATTACCGTCGTTCGAGGCTGCTGCGGTGAAGTCCTAGCTGGAGCGGCTTGGGCTCCAACCTGAGGCCGTGTTCCAGATGAACCGGCGTCCCAATCAAAACACCAGCTTCCGTGATCAGTTGTTCCTGGTGCATTTCACGAAGGGATCCACCAGTCTTGCGGCTCTGCGATCCAAAATTCGGGACCTGCTTCAGGTCATCATCAGTTGGGAGCATTACAAACCCCAACATCGTGATGTAAAGCAGTGTATGAACTGCCTCTCATATGGCAATGGCACCGAAAACTGCCACATAAAGACAAACTGCGGCAAGTGTGCTAGAGCTCACTCAACTGCATCCTGTGAGCAAGTCGATGACATCGAGCCAACGTGTGTCAACTGCGGTGGAAACCACCAAGCCTCCAATTGCGGATGTCCCAAGCAAGTGGAGTTCATTAATATCCGTCGGAAGGCCACAATCAACAACCAGATCGGTCGCCTTCGTAATCATCGTTCGCCTCCTGTACTCACGGAAGTCCAGTACCCTGCTCTCCAGCCCCGTCGACATGTTCCGAACCTAGCCCCGCTTCCGCTCAACAACCAACAAGCCAATCTTGCGGGAATCCAAATGGTGCCTAACAGTCGGACAGTTCAGCATCGTCTCGCTGTTGCTGCGGCCCAGCCAATTCCAGGTTCATCCACCGCCCCTGGTTTATCATATGCTGGTGCTGTCTCAGGTGAATCTGTCGACGATTCTCCGTTCACCTCGGAGGAACTTGTGACGCTCGTGGCCGAGGTCATCATCATCATGCGCACCTGCAAGACTCGATCTGAACAGCTTCATGCTGACTTGTCACTCGTCACCAAGTATGGACCGTGAAGCTATAAAAATTGCAAATTGGAACGCTTGTTCACTGAGGAACAAGCATAGAGAGCTACTCGATTTCCTCAACATCAAGGAGGTTGACATTGCTATCATCACCGAGACGCATTTGAAGCCCGAACTGAACGTATTCCTTCCCGACTTCCGGCTCGTCAGACTTGATCGCACCTGCTCTGGAGCTAGAGGAGTGGCCATCGCTGCAAGACGGAACATCAGTTGCCGGCTGCTACCAAACTACCAGCTGAAAACAATTGAAGCCATCGGAGTGGAGGTGAGCACATCACTTGGCCCAATCACCATCATCGCGGCCTACTGCCCCAAGCAAACCAACAGCAGGGACGGGTCGTCAGTGCCCCCCCGGAAAGACATCATCAAACTCACCCGGAGGAGCGGGAACTTTATCATCGCTGGCGATCTGAACGCAAACACACCAAGCTTGGGGCAACGGTCGAAGCAATAGAAACGGCATCATCCTGAATGAAGACCTGCAAGAGGTCCACTATACCATCTTGGCCCCGGACTCTCCCACCCGGTTGAGTCGGTCTGGGGTTCATGCGATCATCGACATCTGTTGTTTCCACTGCCGAATCTGTCAGCAAAACCATTTACGGGGGCGAAAACTGGCGAAAAATGTTCCAGCGGACTGAGGGAGACCGATGCACACGCGGTAAAACTGAACAATGTGAATTTCGGAGGTAGTGAATAAATTCGACTATGCGCACTGGTGGTTTGGTGGTAACTGATCATAATTTTAATTCTTGTTCGTTTTCTGTCTTCTACACTGCATGTCGTGTGTGAGTATATGTGTGTTTTTCATTTCAATGTTAGCTGTCAATGCAAGGGTGTGAATTCAAAGTAAGTTATATCCAAGGCAAGTACAATTATTACAGGACAGTGTATCAAGTAAGTGATTTAGTGAAGTTGAGTAAAGGTAATTGTTTGGAAGCCGCAACAACATCTTCGTAAGCAACATGAGACACAACATCTCGCAACCTGTGGCATTCCAGGAGCCCGTTTCTACGACGTCAAATCTTTCCTGATTGATAGGGCGAACGAATTGCAAGAGGTTCCCGCCCAAAATCGAACTATTCGGGGAGGCGATAGTACTTTGCATGGTGCGGTTGATCATGTCCGTCTTCCACAAACAAAGCTACAGTGTTTCGATGGGAACAAAGATGAGTGGTTGAGCTTCAGAGACATCTACACTTCTCTGATTCACCACAAAATCGATTTGCCGCCAGTTGAGAAATTCCACTACCTCAAAGGATGTCTGGCAGGAGAGGCAAGGGCTCTGGTTGATCCACTACAGATCACTTCGAACAATTCTCAGCTAGCATGGGATACGCTACGGAAAGCGTTACAATAATAGCAAGCTCTTGAGGAAAAGACAAATCCAGGCGTTGCTAAAACTGCCGTCTCTCGTCAAGGAATCCGTTGATGGACTACACAAGTTGGTAGAAGGATTCGATAGAGCTACTCGGAAATTAGATCAGGTACTCGAACCTGCTGATTACAAGGACTTGCTATTAGTGGAGCCCCTCAGTTCTCGTCTCGATCCAGCTACGCGCCGAGGGTGGGAGGAATTTACGTCTACCAAGGAAAAAAGTTACATTTAAGGACTTAATGGATTTCCTCCAACGGCGAATCCAGATCTTTGAATCGCTTCCAGTGAAATCGGAAGCCAAGCGTGATTCTACATCACAGGAAAGGCGGAAACCTGTCTACCAGAAGGTTAGCCACAATGCTACTCAGTCCAACAGTGCACAATGTCCGTCCTGCTCAGAAACCCATGGATTATACATCTATCCAGACTTCGTGAGGATGTCGTTATCCAGTAGGGAGTCTTTTCTGCGTAGTCATTCTCTTTGCCGTAGCTGCTTAAAACACGGTCATATCGCAAGGGATTGCTCATCGAGATATTCTTGCCGAAAGTGTAAGGCCAGACACCATACGATTATGTGTTTCAAGTCAGACGGAGTCAGCTCGAACCAGAGGTCATCCAGAAGTGGAGTTTCGGGTGATGGCGCTAAGCAAAACGTAGCTGCTCAGAGCTCACAGGAGTTGAATGCTGCTTCAACAGAATCTGCATCGTCAAATATGGCAAAGGCTACGTCATCCCAGATGCTTTTGGCTACCGCTATTCCCAAGTAACAATTTCCAGTTGAAGAAACGCTTTCGTTTTGATTTTGTTCAGCTGCATGTTGAATAATAATTGCACAATGTGTTCACCACAACTTTTATAAAACCCTTGTTTACACTCGTTTGGAGAACCTATACAACTGCAACACAAAGGTGTTGTCTAACGTATTCAGTAAAACGTTTGCCCAAAATCAATTTCTTGTTGAAGAAACGCTTCCATTGTGATTTTATTCAACTGCATGCTGAATAATAACTGTACAATTTGTTTATTACAACTTCTGTAAAACTCTTGTTTACACTGGTTTGGAGAACCTGTTCAACTACAGCATTATATGTCTACGCGGTATAGGAGTAGAAGCAACTTTTATACAACGTTTATAGATACATATTTAAACTCAAGCTTTATTATTTTGGTGAAAGCTCTTATACAACGTT